TTCCAGAAATAGGGTCTCTCTCTGTCAGCCAGGCTGGAGTGCAGGGGTGCCATCACAGCTCACTGCAGCCTCAAACTCCTGGGCTCAAGTGATCCTCCCACCTGAGCCTCTCAAGTAGCTGGGACTACAGGCATGCACCACCAGTGAGCTATGATTGCAGCACTGCACTCCATTTGGACAACAGAGCAAAAGCTGCCTCTTTAAAAAAAATAACTAAGTGGCTCATGCCTGTAATCTCAGCACTTTGGGAGGCTGAGGCAGGCGGATCACCTGAAGTCAGGAGTTCAAGACCAGCCTGGCCAATATGATGAAACCCTGTCTCTACGAAAAACACAAAATTTAGCTGGGTGTGGTGGAGAGCTCCTATAATCTCAGTCACTCAAAAGGTTGGGAAAGGAGAATCTCTTGAACCCAGGAGACGGAGGCTGCAGTGAGCTGAGATCGCACCACTGCACTCCAGCCTGGGCAACAAAGCGAGACTCCATCTTGAAAAAATAAAAATAAATACATAAGATAAAGTATTTAAAGAAGAAACAAAGAGAGGACTGGGGCCTGAGTGAGTGAGCCATCACAGCAAATGAGAAGCTGGGCCAGGTGACCCCAGCTGACAAGATGCAGAGGCTGAACCCCCAGGGAGCAGGAGTGGGTGTGGTCCTCAGGGCCTGCTGGAAATACCCGACTGCAGCTGGAGAGGTGAATGTCCACCACAAAGCCCGATCCTGCAGGATAACTGCAGGCAAGGCCTGTTCCTGGCCTCATGCCTCCCCAGCCCTGGGCCCACCTACCTATCACGGCCACCGTCAGACCTGGCGAGCAAGCCTCCGGCATCAGACATCTGCAAACCCACGCTCAGGCGCTGCTGCCCCGGTCCTGTGAGAGCCTGGTTCACTGGGGCTCGCTCTGGCTCCAATTCTGACTGCAGTCCCCTCCTTCGACCTCGCCTGCACCAGTGACTTCCTCATCTCCCGGCATTCAGACCCTGGCTGTCCTCTGGTTTCCCTGGCTCAGCATACCCCGCCCTGGCCCTGATTCCTTGGTGTCCCTATGACTCAAAGCTCTGGCTCCCTGCCCGGGGACCTCACCCTGCCCATGTTCTGGTCCTCCCAAATAAAGCCCCACAAGTGGGAAGAATAGGAGTGTCTAACCCAGAACCCGCCAGGTTCCCGGGACCCTCGGCCCTTGCCCTGTGCAAGGACCCCATGGGGCTTCTGGTTCTATGAACCCAGCCTCTGAGCCAGCCGGGCCTGCAGGACACTGCAGACATGTAATTAATGACCCACGAGGCTTCAAACAGGGGTTCATTCGGAGTAGCTGGTACTCTAGGAGGAGTGGTGGGGAGATTGACTCGAGACTGCCAGTCACACCCAGCATGCCACAGCCCCCAGCCCTGGAGTGAACTTGCTCCATCCTCCTCCTTGGTCAGAGGTGTTTGGGAACCACAAGGAAGGAGCTTTAGAAACGGGCGTGCTCAGCCGGTCGTGGTGGGTCACACCTGTAATCCCAGCACTTTGGGAGGCCAAGGTGGGTGGATCACCTGAGGTCAGGAGTTCGAGACCAGCCTGACCAACATGGAGAAACACTGTCTCCACTAAAAACACAAAATTGGCCAGGCATGGTGGCACACGTCTGTAATCCCAGCTAATCGGGAGGCTGAGGCAAGAGAATCACTTGAACCTGAGAGGCAGAAGTTGCACTCCAGCCTAGGCAGCAAGAGCGAAACTCCATCTCAAAAAAAAGAAAGAAAGAAAAGAAAGGAAAGAAAGAGGCTTGCTCAATAATAAAGCTGATACTTGGGCATTTCAAGTTTCCAGCAAATAACTGCTTCCCAAGCCCAGCACGTGATCTCTAGCTCTAGAGCAGACACAGCTAGGTCTGCCTCCATCTCTTTTTTTTTTTTTTTTTT